CCGTTAAACAGCAGCGGCCGCCGGTGTCTTCCTTCTCGTTCTCCATCGAAAGGTGGATTCCTGGATCGGTAATCCCCACAACGTGGGCTCTGCCTCTCCACACCCGGTACCGACTGGTGCCGGTTACCGATCATCTGCTCTGTCTGATCCTGTCCCCTCTCTCTCTCTCTCTCTCTCTCTGCCGTAGGACTGAATTGCTGTAGAATCTGCCTTCTCTCTATCTCTCTCTCTCTGTATCTCTCTGTCTCTGTATCTCTCTCTATTTCTCTCTCTCTCTCTCTCGCTCTGTATCTCCCTCTGTTTCTCTCTCTCTCTCTCTCTCTCTCTCTCTGTTTCTCTCTCTCTGTCTCTGTTTCTCTCTCTCTCTGTTTCTCTCTCTCTCTCTCTCTCTCTGTATCTCTCTCTCAGTCTCTCAGCGTCTGTCTCTCAGTCTATCCCACTCAGTCCCTTTCTCTTCCAGTCTCTCTTTCTCTCTCAGTCTCTTTCTCAATCTCTCGCTCTCTTTCTGTGCCTCTCAGCCTCTCTCTTCTCTCTGTGTGTGTCTCGCCGTCTCTCTGTCTGTTTCTCTCTCTCTCTCTCCCTCACTCTGTCGAAGGTCTGACTTGCCCTACAGCCAAGAAGCTCCTCTGGTCAATCTTCCTTCCCAATCTCGAGTATCTGTGGTTTCGGTCGGAGAGGTCATCCCTCCGGACGGGTGACCACAGAGTTCCTCCTCTGCTCTCTCCCCGATCCGAGACAACATCACTCAGTTTCTAAAAGTAATGACTCTTAAAGTCACATTACATTTGCACCGTTATCTTCCTTCAGATCCGCTCATCCTAAACTGCTCATAATGTCCGTTGTATCGGTGACCCTCAGTGATGGGTTCTCCCACAGTCTTTGCCACTCGTGACTCTTCTCCTGTCTCCTAATGTCCTCGTCCCAGTCTCCCTGTCTTGGCCTTGAACCTCTTTACTGACATGTTTACTCCTTCTGAAAGATGTAACTCCGTCTATCGTCTTTGATAGCTCCAAATCTGTTTGTTCCACTTTACTGCGGACATCAGAGGTTCTGTTGATCACTCAATTTCCCATTTTCCTTATTGAACGACAGCGACGACACTACACATAATCATAGGATTCAAGGCTTTCAGTCATGGTCATACATCCCATGTTTATCTGGTTCCCTTTGAAGATTAATATGGATTCTGGCGGCAACACGTTCCGTATTCTAACTTCTCTGTACCTGAAGAATAAAGTTCCTAAAATTCCCCACTTCCGTGTTTCACCACTAATTTAAACTGAGAGCCTTTCATCACCAGAACACACTGACACCTCAACTGAACCCATTGACACACAGAACATTGCAGCTTCTTGTGCTGTATGGCTGTGGGCACCAATGTTCAGCGTTGTAAACTAATCAATTGTACGACTAACACAACACACCCCTCTCACTGTAATGATTAGCACAGCCATTGAGAGAAAATACATTTTCAAAAATAATGTTATCCTTAAATACAATAAAATGAAGAGAATTCAGGAAACTGAATAACACACTCAGAGATCAAAATTAGTGGCGGGAGAATACTCTGTGTTTCCCGAACTGGTGTTGTAAAGCACTTTTTTGGTGTATTTATTGTTCCTCATCTTCACCTCTCCTTAGTTATTGGAGGGATTCCAATTCCATATGCAACAAAGATGTTCACTTTTCTATTGAAGGTGAAAGGCAGAATATTTCTGCCCGATATGGACCCTGAGACCTTTCCGTGTGAGGGGAACGTGAAAACCACTGCACTACAGAAAATATATAGAGACCTAATTACGTTGAAAAGATAGAAACTCACATCAGTGCTCTCTTCTCTTACGTCTTTGTAAATACACCTTGTTATATATTTAGTGACAGATAGTGTCAATGAGCAATGTTTCCCGCTGACCCTGTGGGTGGGTTGTGGTGTCGCTGCTCACGGTATTCCTGGTGAGAGATATTTTTTTTGAGGAGAAGTCGTTGTCCTTCAGTCATTTAAATTCAGCAGAACTTCTGTTCAATTGGTACTTACCATTGTAATTATGAATTGCAAAACACACTGGAGAAAGGCTGAATATTGGGACTATTTTACTGTTTTGCTGTGAACTGTGACTTTCCACTGATTTTGACCACAGAAAGTCATCAGATTGTGATCACTGACATATTGGCGCGTCACGATCTCGAAGGACAGAAAGTCTGGTGGTCGCTGAGATGTTCTTCCAGCCATGAACTTTACTTCTGTTTCGGAATGACTTCCATTTTTCTTCCTCCTTAATAATAGCACTTGTTGCATTTGATATAGGAACATCGGAACATAGGAACAGGAGTGGGCTATTCAGCCATTGGAGACAGTTCTGCTATTGAATTGGTTATTGGTTGATCTGTACCTCAACTATTCCTGTCAATTCCAATTTTCAGCATTCTCCCCAGAAGCCTTGATACACTGACTTACCAAAAATCTATCAACGGTTTTCCTGAAGGTGGGAATGGATTCAGCTCTCATAGCCTTTCATGGAAGAGAATTCCAGATTTCTACCATTATTCTGAAATAATGCTTATTGATTCCTCTTGAAATAGAATAGTTCTAATTGGAGAACTATATCCCCTTATTGCTGATTCCCCCACCAGAGGAAATAGCTTCTCTGTATCTACCGTATCAAACCTGTTTATCAGTTTAAGTACCTCAATCACATCACCCATTAACCTTCTATAACCAAGGAAGTACATTTCAGGTTTACGCAGCTTTTCGCCTTAACCCTTTGAAGCCCGGTAACATCCTGGTGAACCAGCGACGCACCCTCTTGCAGGTCAATGTATATTTCCTGAGGTGTGTTGCTAAAAACTGAACGCAGTGCTTCAGATGGGGTCTGACGAAGGCCATCTGCAGCTGAAGCATCATTTCTTCACCCTTTATATTCCAGGTCACTTGAGACAAAGCCAACATTTAATTGGCTTTTTTGGTTAATTTTTGCAGCTGGAAAGAAGCTTTTATTGATTTGTGGATAAGGAGAACCACATTCCTTTGCTCCTCCGCACTTCATAGTCTCTCCTCATTAAGAACATATTTAGCTTAATCTTTTTCGATGCACAGTAGAGGACTTGGCACTTCCCTATATTGAACTCCATCAGCCACAGCTTTGCCCACTTGCTTCATCTGTCTCAGTCCCTTTGTAACTTTCTCCTCCCATCTACACAACTTACTCAGCCTCCGAGATTCGTGTCATCTGTAAACTTGGTATATTCTCTGAAATGCTTTGAGACGTCTTGAAAACTTGATAAGTCATAATATCAAATTCAAGGATTATTATCATTGTTATTGTAAGTTTCTCAGACACAATTTGCTTTAACAAATCCACGTTGAGAGTCATCAGTTAACCTGTTTTTTTCCAAGTTAAATCATATCTTTTCCCTTCTTATGCTCTCTAGAAGTTTTCTCAGCGTCGATGTTAGGCTGACTGTCTTGTACTACTAATAATAATCCTTGTATTTGATATAGTACCTGATCAATTCTTCGAGATGTCACCAAACGCTTCACAGGATATAATGTAATGTGTCGTGACTGTTTATTTTATGGGATAACCGTGAAAGTCAATTGCAAACAACAGTGTCGCACAATCAGCCGTGGATTGAATGATCAATTTATTATCATTTATTTGTTTATGATCCGCCAGTAGACTAACACACGGGTTCCAACTTATTACGAAGTAAACAGAGGCGTGTGTGAGTGTATGGATTAAGGAAACTTGCCTCATGTTTCGCCCTGACTTGCCCAGGAATCAAAACTAGGTCCTCTCGCTTGCGTGATGAGTTCTCTAACCACAGAGCCACAGGAACCCATAATGATGCTTCAATTGTATGGAGCATTTATCAGACTCCATGTGGAGTACTGTGTTCAGTTTTGGACAACGCACCTCATGAAGGTTATATTGGCCCTGGAGTGGGTGCAGCGCAGATTCAACAGAATGATACCTGGGCTCAAAACATTGATTGATGAGGACAGGTTCCATAAACTTGGTCTCTATTCCCTTGAGTTTAGAAGTTTGAGGGGTGATCTGATTGAGGTTTTTAAAATAATAAAGTAATTTCACAAGGTAGCTACAGATAAAATATTTCCTCTGGTCGGAGGGGAATGCAGAACAAGGGACCATAATCTTAATATTAGAGCTATGTCATTGAGGGGTGAAAAAGTAGTTTTTCACCCAAAGTATTGTGAGAATCCGGAACTCTCATTCTCAAAAGGCTGCGGATATTAATAATAATAATGATTCTTGCAGTTGATAAAGCGCTTCACAGAATATACTGTAAAGGTAAATGACTGTATCTTTTGTGAGAAAACAAGCGGCCAATTACGCAACTCAATGTTCCACAAAGAGTCGCGGTTTGGGTGACCAAACAGTTATTTGCCTGCCTGCCTGCCTGCCTGCCTGCCTGCCTGCCTGCCTGCCTTTCTTTCTTTCTTTCTTTCTTTCTTCTTTCTTTCTTCTTTCTTTCTTCTGCCTTTCTTTCTTTCTTTCTTTCTTTCTTTCTTTCTTTCTTTCCTTCTTTCCTTCTTTCTTTCTTTATTCATGCATTTATTTATTAATTACTATTCATCTTTCCGTCTGTCCGTCCGCCCACCCACCCGTCGAGATCCTCTCACTTGCGAGGCGAGTGCTCTTAAACCCTGAGCTGAAGGACTCCACACACGGTAGAAAAACACAAAATGTACAGCATCGAATTTGCTCATTGAACCAACAGATCAAAATGTCTGTGTCCCTGTTGGTAAGTGCCACGTGTGTCAGTCACCACGAAATCGTACCTAATCACAACTGGTGACAGATCACCAGAGGGAATGTGTTCACTGATGTGAGCTGAAGCTTTCTCAGGAGACGTATCTCTGGGTTACATAAATGGTCAATTAGAAAAGGAACGTTTCACTCACTGTCTCACTCAATCAATCAGTCAGTCAGTCAGTCAGTCAGTAGCGAGAGATAACGTTTGAAGTGTCTCACAGTGAAATGGGTTTTGCAATAGTTTACCTCATTGATCCCATTTACTACCCCATTCTGGCAGCTGTGGGCGTGATTGGTAAGTCATTACCGACGGGCAACCTAAGGGTAGTTACGGGTAAATCTAACCAGAATGTTTGATGTACGATTACTGGAGTTATGTAGCTCAGGGTTTAGAGCACTCGCCTCGCAAGGGAGAGGACCTGGGTTCAATCCCAGGCCAGGTGGGTCAGCGCGAAATGTAAGGCAAGTGTCCTTAATCCACACACACACACGCACACACGCGCCTCTCTTTACCTCGTGGTAAGCAGGAATCCACTTGCTAGTCGATTGGCAGATCGTTTTCCCGGGAGTAATAAACCCTTATAAAAAACTTATGTCACTCAATCCACTGCTGTCTGTCGGACAATGATGTGTACAATTGGCTGTCGCGGACCATCCGCAAGATATTCTGTACTTCACAGTAAATACTCTGAAGAGCTTTGAGACGGCGAGAGTCGTGATTGGGCGCTTTATCTAATGCAAAGATAATTATTATTATTGCTCTATAGTGCTTTCTATATTGTCACAATGTTTTCAAAGTGATTCACCGTAAATGTGTAGTAACTGTGTGTTCGTTGTACGTAAATGTTGCAGTGAATAATAACTGAATGCATCGATTTCAAAATCCTTTCACTTGCTTTCAATGTCCTTCACTCCATCGCACCTTCCCACCTCTCTGACCTGCTTTAACCGCACTACCCCACCCACTGCCGCCGCTCGGTTGGCTCCGGCCTCCGGTTTGTCCCCTCCACTCCACCATTGCTGGCGTTGCTTGCAGCCACTGCACCAAAACACTCTGTCACTCACTTCCTCAATCGCTCCACCTTACGACCCATTAAATGCTGCTTAAAAACCTTCCATTTCAACGATGCTTAAGGTCACCTCCCCTTCCCCCACTGCTTCGGAGTCAGACTCCGCCACTGTCAAGTACTCCGGGACGCAAATCCACCCCCCCAACGACTCTCCATTATGGGCATTATATTAATACGGGTTTGCTCAGCGAAAGAAGACCAAACTCAGTCTAACTCGCTTTCCAGTGCCTTCGCCGCCTCCTCCCTTTCCTCCTTCAAGGCCAGTCTCAAGACCTTTCTCTTTGACCGTGCCTTCAGCTCCCCTCTCGCCTCTCTAACCCCTCCTCGCTCCCTCCCTTCCCTCCCCTCACCCTGACCATTTCTCCCCCAATGCTCGGGTCCTGACCCAACTGTACAGCGCCTTGGGATCCTCCAGACGTGAAAGGCCCTATATAAATGGAATCTTGTTGTTGTTGTTCCAACAACCTGGCAGTCGCCACATGTCCTGTCACAAACTGTATACTGTATCTCTGCGTTTGTGTGTGCGAGTGCGCTCACGTGGGTGTCTGTGTTTCTATGCTCTAATCCCAGATATTAATCTCTAACAGAAATCTATCTCATTTGAGCTTGTTCCCAAATTGCTTCATGTCCTGGCACCTTCCTAACTCTCTGACCAGTGTACTCCCAAAACCACATCCTGATGCCTCCGCTTGACTCCTTCCGGCCTCCTGAATTTCCCACAGGCCCTCCTTTCCACTATCCATGGCCGTGCTTTCAGGCACTACGCCCCAAAACTCGTTCACACTCTACCTCTATCCCTTTCGAAGAGGAATATCTTCAGACATGCTGAAAACATGGAAAAAGGAAGCTTCCCCGTTTTTAGGGCACTTCTGAAGTCCTTCCTCTTTGACTGGGCCTAAGATCACCTCCACTCAGCACCTGACTGGGCGTCATGCTCCGCCACTCTCAAGCTCTCGGGGACGCTATCGTGCGTGAGGCTGTATAGGTGTAAGTTGTTGTTGTTGTTGTTTTACGGCTCACATTCTCTCTCTCTCTCTTTCTCCCTCTCTTTCTCCCACCGTCTCTCAGTTAACGTGGCGGCCATTGTGATCCTGACTCGGGGAAAGTGTGGGCTGACTCCTGTGGTCACTTGCTACCTGGTGGCCATGTCCTCGGCTGACCTGATGGTGGTTGTTTTCGAGGTGATATTGCATCGAGTCTATTACACCTACACTTTAAACCACTTTCCGTTCTCCTTCCTGTGGATGACTCCCGCTTGCAGTCTGGCCGCGGTCCTGCGATACTCCGCCACCGATTCCTCCGTCTGGCTGACCGTGGCTTTCACCGGTGACCGTTTCGTGGCCATTTGTTGCCCGAAGCTCAAAGCCAGATATTCCACTCGGAGATCAGCACTACTGATCATCGTCTCCGTCTGTTTCTTGAGCAGCTCCAGAAACCTCCCGTGGTATTTCATCTTCGAACCTGTGTTCGTGTTTAATGGCATCCCCTGGTTCTGCTCCATCAAGTTGACCGATCTCTTCATCTCCAGCGCCTGGTCTGCCTTCTACCTCTTCAACTACACCATGACGCCTCTGCTGCCCTTCGCCCTGATTTTCCTGCTCAACTCGCTGACCGTTCGGCACATCCTGGCGGCGAGCCGAGTGCGGAAAGAGCTGCGGAGGGGACAGAGGACGGCAGAGACGGAGCGGGACTCGGAGATGGAGAGGCGGAGGAGGTCTATCATCCTGCTCTTCTCTCTCTCCTCCACTTTCCTGATTCTCTGGATGACACATTTTGTGTACTCCCTCCTGTACAGGATCCGTATCATGACCAGGAAAGAGATCGAGTCGTACAACACAAATAAGATTGGGGACATGTTACGCTTTCTGAGCTGTTGTACCAACACTTGTATCTATGCCATTACCCAATCCAGATTCAGAGAGGAGCTCAAACATGGCTTCACATATCCCTGTCATCTGCTTGCTAAAGTACTCAAGTGATCAAACCATTCTTTCCCCAATCTCAGCGTGTTAGCAATGGCAGGAAGATAGATTTTAAGAAGGTAAGGATTCGCTGGTGAAAAAATACCAAGGTCCATCTAGTTTGCCTTCCACCATCTTAGCAGTGAATCACTTGACATGTCGTATCCCCCAACAATATACTGTAATCCCCATATAATAATAATACTTGCATTTTCTATAGCGCCTTGTCACGTCTGACTTGTATGTCACGTCAAGCGCTTTATGGGCTTTCCTGTCAAGAGAATTGACTGTGTGTTTGGTGCGCGAAATGCAGGAGCAAATTGCAAACAACAGTGTTCCAAGCATTCGTAGATTGAATTGGGCATTTTTTGTTATTATTATTAGTAGTAGTATTATTATTATGCATTTTATTGGAAGAGAATGTTACCTCCAGAAAAGCGATCTTCCAATCGATTAACAACCGGGTTCCTATTTACTTTGAGGTAAACAAAGCCGTTTATATGTGTCGAGTAAAGGAACTTGCCCAAAGTTCGGAAAATGTCGGAAAATGTTGGGCATTTTTCCTTACTCGACAATCCCTCTGTTTACCTTGCTGTAAGTTGGATGTATACAACAACAAGGATACATTTGTATTGCGCCTTTTACGCTGGGAGGACATCCCAAAGCACTGACAGCTCCCCTCACGCAGGGACCATCCCCTCAGCTTGGCAGTGGTGCAGCACAGTGCTGAGCCAGGGAGAAGGGCAAGGTGTTCGAATAGGAAGGTCTTCAGGCGTGACCTGGGCAGGGAGGGATTTGTAAATGAGTCTGAGGCTCTGGAAATCGATCTGTTGAGTAATGTGGAGACAGAGGACCGTGCAAGCACTCATGCGATGGGGGACAGAGTATAGTGTGCAAAAGTGGAAGACAATGGAGCCTGGTGAAGGCTGGTATCATGGGGGTGCACAGTTTAGTTTGTGAGATAGGTAGTCCGTTTTGCCTATCGAGGATTGGTTTGATGGTGGTGCGGAGTTATTATATGTGAGAGGAAGTTACTGGAGCTTGGGAAGGACTTGTATGATGTGGATACAGACTTAACTGTGTGTGCCAGTGGGCCAGTGGAGCCTGGAATGGACTGGTGTGATGGGGCTACGCAGTTTAGTGTCTGTGATAAGGAGAAAAATGAGCCTGGCGAGTACTCATATGATGGGATTACAGAGTCCAGTGTGTGAGATAGGGAGCCTGGCACGTATTGAGGTCATGGATCAAGAAAAGGAAAAAGATCCCAATTTCAACCCTGGCTTAGTCCATCCCACAACAAACGGTTCATAGAATCATAGAATGTTACACCAGAGAAGGAGGCCATTTGGCCCTTAGTGCCTGTGCCCTTTGAAAGAGCTACTCAATCAGTCCCACTCACCCGCGCTTTTGCCATTATCCACGCATTGTTTTTCATTTTAATCACCTATCCAATTCGCTTTCTAAATTTGCTTTTGAATCTGTTTCAGCATTCTTTAAGTCAGTGCATTCAATGCTATGATTCTATGAACTATAACAACTTTATGTAAAACAGCAAGTCTCATCTCCCCTCTGGTTCTTTTGCCAATTAACTTAAATCCGTATCCTTTGGTTACCGACCCACCTGGCAGTGGAAACAGTTTCTCCATATCTATGATATCAAAACATTGTTAGATATTGTTAACACTTCTATTAAATCTCCTCTTAACCATCTCTGCTCTAAGGGGAACAATCGCAGCTTCTCTCGTCTGTCAAAATAACTAAAGTCTGTCATCCCTGAACTCTGGCAAATCTCCTCTGCACTCTCTCCAAGGCCTTGATATCCTTCCAAATATGTGCTGTCGAGAATTGGGCAAAGTACTCCAACTGAGGCCTAATCAAAGAACTATAAAGGTTCAGCGGAAATACCTTGGATTTGTACTCTCTGCCTCTATGAAATAAGCCAAGTATATTTTTGTTGTTGATTATCAAATGTAATTTGTTGTTGATCTTGATTTCTGCACTTTTCGATGTCCTCCTGACATGAAACGCACTATACAGATGTAATTTGTTGTTGCTGTTGTCTGGCCATTGAGCCAGGAAGCTATACATTTGTGCACAAACTGCTTAGCCCCCAATCCTCTACACTCTGCCTCTGTTCGGTTGGCTCCTGCCTCCTGCCTTTCCCTTGTGCCATCCGCTCCAAATTCGATGGTCATGCCTCCAGCCACTAGGCACTGAAATTATGTTACACTCTCCCGCAATCCCGCCACCATGTGCCCTCCCTCCTCACTGACAAATGCCGCCAAAATACCTTCCTTTTTGATCTTGGTTAAAATCACCATTCCACTCCCTCTCTCTACCGCTGGTCCTGTGTCAGACTCCACCATTCTCAAGCGATCTAGGACGTTGCACTGCATGCAGGTGCTTCGTAAATGCAAGTTGTTGTTGCTGTTGCTCCAAATGTGTGCCCCTACAAGTTCTGCAGATAAAATATTGTCTGGCTGTTACTGTCATCTACTGTCAACAAAATCTTCCTGGGAGAATTCAAATCGTCACCGCAATAGAAGATTGACATGAATCTAAGACTCCAATGAAAACTGTATTCAAATGATTAAACCTGATCTGACATTGGATAAGATTAATCCCTGATTATTGTTATTTTTATTGATTATTGCATTTGATATAGTGCCTTACCACGTCATGTCTTATCATGTCACACAGAACACTGTAAAGTGCAGTGTCTGTACGTTTTGTGGGTGAAACCCGGAAGCCAATTGCACAAGAAACCATCCCACAAACAGTGATGGATTGAGTGACCAGATTATTATTATTGTTTTCAGAGGAATTATTACCTCCGGAAAAGCGATCCACCAACCGACTAATTAGCTGGTTCCTATTTACTGCTCGTTAAACAGAGGCTTTGGGAGTACGGAAACTTAACTACCGTTTTGCGCTGACCCACCCGGGAGTTGCTAAAATGTTAAATTATGAGAGCGTCAACTTGGTCTGTATTCCCTTGAGTTTAGAGAGTTGAGATTATTTGGCTGAGGTGTTTAAAATAAAAAATGGATTCGATGGGGTAGTTTCAGAGAAGCTACTTCCTCTGCTCGGTGGAGAAATCCAGAACAAGGGGACATCATCTTAAATTAGAGCAAGGGTGTTCAGGAGTGAAACGAGGAGGCAGTTTTTCGCCCAAATGAGAACCGTGTCCATCCTCAAAAAGATGCGGATTATCTCTAGATCCATTCAAATTCTCAAGACTGAGGTGGATAGATGTCTGTTAGCTCCTCTATGGTGCTCCCTCTTGGTAACATCATCCGCCCACATGGGGTCAACTTCCACATGTTTGCGAATGATACCAAATTCTACCTGTCTGTCCATATCTGCCAGACATCAGGTCCTGGATGAGAGCTAACTTTCTTCCGTTGAACGGCAACAAGACCGAGGTTCTCTTGATTGCTCCTGTCAGTGCCTCCTCACCTCAGATGCTGACAGCATCACCATCTATGGATGAACACTCCACACTGATGAAACAGTGCGGAACCTTGAGTACAACTATTCTTTCTAACCCACATCGGTGCTGTGACCCGCTCTGCCTTCCCCACCTCCACATCACAGCCCTGATCTGCCACGGACTCACACTGCAGGACCGAAACCCTCCTGTATGCTTTCATGACATCGAGGCCTGAGTATGCAAACTCGTTGCTTGTCGGTCTCCCCAACTCTTCATTTCATACGCTGCAGATAATCCAGAACTCTGCAGCCCGCGAACTCTCCCGCACGAGGCTCCTATCACACCAACCTCACCCACACTCCACTGGCTTCAACAACGACAACAACAAGATTCCATTTGGGGAGCGCCTTTCACGTCGGGAGAATGTCCCAAGGCACTGTACAGTTGGGTCAGGACCCAAGTAGGGGGGAGATGGTCAGGGTGAGGGGAGGGAAAGGAGGGAGCGAGGAAGCGGTAGAGAGTCGAGAGTGGAGCTGAAGGCACGGTCAAAGAGAAAGGTGTTGATACTGGCCTTGAAGGAGGAAAGGGAGGAAGCGGCGAAGGCACTGGGGATAGAGTTGCAGAACCTCGCGGCTGAGAGGCTGAAGGCCACCGATGGTAGGGCGGTTAGGGCGGGGTAAGTGGAGCAGACCAGAGCCAGAGGAACGGAGGCTACGGGCAGGTAAGTAGGGGGACAGTAGGTTGGAGAGGTAGGAGGGAGCGAGGCCGTGAATGGCCTTGTAGGTGAGGATGAGGATCTTGAAATCAATCCTCTGGGGGATGGGGAGCCAGTGGAGGCGAGCGAGTTAGGGAGTGATGTGGTCGCGGTGTCTGGTGCGGGACAGTACATGAGCTGCAGAGTTCTGAATGACCTGCAGTGTGGAGGGAGGGCCGGAAAGGACAGCGAGCAGAGAATTCCCATAGTCCAGCCTTGAGGTGATAAAGGCGTGAACCAGAGTTTCAGCAGCGTGAGGGGTGAGGTAGTGCCGTAGTCTGGCCAAGTTTCGGAGGTGATGGAAGGCGGTGCCAGTTGTGGCGCAGATATGAGGGAAAAAGGACAGCTCAGGGTCGAACAGAACCCCGAGGTTCCTGATTGGCTTTGAGAGGTGGAGAGTGCAGCCTTGGATGCTGATGCTGTCAGCGCCTGAGGTGCGGAGGCACTGACGTGAGCTAATCAGGAGGGCAGGACTCGATGTCGGACAGGCAGCTGTCAGAACATCGGGGGTCGTGGAGTTGAGGGTAGAGGAGGAAAGGTAGAGTTGGGTGTCATCCACATACATGTGGAAGTTAACCCCATGTCTGCGGATGATATCACCAAGGGGGAGCATATAGAGGGTGAAGAGGAGGGAACCGAGGACAGAGCCCAGAGGGACAGCGCACGAGACAGTGCGGGGGCCGGAGGAAAAGCCATTTGGGGCTTCCCATCACAGATATTACAGTTCAACTTCTTTGTCCTCACCTTCAAAGCCCTCCACGGTCTTTCACTCGCTGCTTCTCCTGCCTCGCTCGCCTCACTATTGGTCGGCAGGCCTTCTGCCACTCTGGC